CCAAGAGGGAGGAGCCTGACTGTATACTCACCAAGGAAAGCTGCTGCGGTGAGGTCGACACTGAGCTCACGGCACAGGAGGAATGGCGAGGGTTTCCATAAAAAACGTTTCCTTCTGCTTTATCATATTTCCTTTTTCCTGGGCTTTGATAGCAGGGGTAGAGTGAAGCATACAAGGTAGCACTTTTTTTTTTTTGGTCTAATAGTTTATTTATACAAAAATTATTTGTGAAACAACCTACAAAATGCCAGGCACTGTTCTAGGTACTAGCTGTACAGTGATAAATCCCTCGGTCTCACTAAGCTTACAGTCTGGAGAGAAGAAAGACATTTAAATCATATTGCAGTATGGCACGAGAAGTGATCTGATAAGAAAAATATGCGGTCTTAGAGGAATAGATAAGAGCAGTACATAACCCAGGGACTGGAAACTGTCTAGGGAAAGTGACTGACAAGGAAGTCTTTCTGGAAGAAGTGACAAGCTGCAGTCTGCAAATTAAATAAAACTTAGCTAAGTGAAGAGAGGTGAAAATTATTCTAGGCTTAGAACAGCATGTGTGGAGGCCCAGAGACGAGAGAACGTGACATATTTGAGTGTGTTCAAGCTGGACCATAGCTTGCAGGAGAGAAAGGGATAAGAGAGCTGAGGCTGGAGAGATGGTCAGAGGCCAAGATCACAGAGGAACTTGTGACTTGTTAAGGAGCTTGGATTTCATCATGAGCACTGAGTCAAGCCACTGAAGGGATGTAATAAGGGGATAAGTGTCAATCTAACCAGTCTTTGAGAGATGAATAAGAGGACAGTAAAGCTAGAGAAATGATGAGCTGCTGGACTAGGGTACTGTCAGGTATCATGGAGAAGGATGGATACTTAGAAGAAGCAGCATCAGTTGTTTTTAGTGGTTAATTGGTATGGAGGGTAAAGGCACAGAAGTCAAAGATAATTCCCAGGTTTCTGGTTGGGCTGCGGCATTGGGGGCGGGGGGGGGTGCTACTCTTTCTTGGGAAAGTAAATTAGGTGCCACAGTCAGTTGGCAGTGTTTTGTGGGCAGTTAGATTTATAGATCTAGGGGCTTCCCTGGTGGCGCAGTGGTTGGGAGTCCGCCTGCCGATGCAGGGGACACGGGTTCATGTCCCGGTCTGGGAGGATCCCACATGCCGCGGAGCGGCTGGGCCCATGAGCCATGGCCGCTGGGCCTGCGCGTCCGGAGCCCGTGCTCCGCAACGGGAGAGGCCACAGCAGTGAGAGGCCCGCGTACCGCCAAAAAAAA